TCACTTCGGTAGGGATCAAGGGACCAAGCAGAGATGCAGCCACTCCGCAGCGCTCCTCCTCTTTGCTAGTGAGGCCCACCACACTCTCTATTACCTCCTATGAGATTAAATCCAATGATGTCATTACAACATTAACACGTTTCTCCATGGAATCACGTGGACACTTAAACTTGCCTTGACTTTAGTTTCTTTAGATGATGTTGGAGCTGCAGCAGGTGTGGTTTCTCCAGGGTAATGACCAGCACTCGATGTGCCATTGGCACTAAAAGTACAAAGTTTGAGAAGTCTCACTTCAATATATAAATGTATTCATGACTGAAGAAGAGGAATGGGCCGATTACCAGTTTTCAGTGTTTTTTAAAAGACAATGTTTATATCACCACTAAATCTATCTGTCAGCCTTATTTTCTTCTCAGCAAGGCACAATATGATTGCCTGCTTTTAGAGTTGACTCAACCAGCCGCCTGAAGTTTATCAAAGGCCTGCTGCTTTTTTTCCCTTCTGCTCGGCTAAGCACAGCTGGGAGGGGTGAGCGGTTACACACAGAGCAGGGAAGGAGAAGCCATTTAGACACTGCCACCACCAGCATTTACACAGCTGCCTATTTGCTCTGTTGATTTGTGCATTGTCCTAAAACAAAACAATACAGTAACACTGGTATGTTCTAAAAATAGCTCACTAGTGATAGGACATTGTAATTAAAACAGAAAGAATGTTTTTTTTTTTAAACTTAACAGGACACATTTCTTAAAGTGTCAAATATTTTGTTTAAAAATAGAGATTGTTCGATGGGAGGAAGAACAGTTTATTTGCCCAAATATTAAGTATTTGGGTAAATAAAAACTGGACATATCACCGCTATAATTTGAATACCACAATATTTTTACATGTGGTTTGTCATACCATCAGAATCTAAATATTGGCCAATGTTGAAGTGAAGTGTAAAAGAGAACCTCGGATATATATTTTAAATGCAGTCACTCACCTGTTGGTATGGTTAGCCAGTCTTTGCACTTGATTAGCTAAATAGTGAGGCAACTCCCAAGAGACCTCATTGTTCTGAGTGTTCCAGTAATAATAGCAGCCAGAGTTATCATCCCAGACCTCCTGCCAGTCCCCCATTTCTACATCCACTGGAAGGAAACAGATATTTAAGGTGATGTGAAGGATCGGCATCATGTGACTTGGACATTACACAGATGTGATCGGCTGGATCATATCAGCTTATATTTTGCATTTTATGCAAATGTTTAGATCGACTGTAATATCTTTAAAGCGCCGATCGATCAACAATATCAGTGATTTGCTCCACAAAATAAAAGATTCCCACTGCAATGTTTCCCACAAACACATTTACCTGTACTGGGCCACAGCAATTAATTGTGTCCGCTAATAGAAAATTTGGGTGGTAGCTGTCAATCTGTAATTGTTGTAATAACTTTCAGTGTTGCATGGATAGCCACTCTGATGCTTGTGTGATTCTGGTGTGAGTCTGCTAATCGATCCTAGTACAGATTTCCTTTGTGGTGAAATACTGCAAATACGTGACAGACCTATCAACCGTAACAATGTCTAAAGTTTGGGAATCTTAGTAATATCAGCTCATGCAGTATCGACCCAAACATGCAAGTATGGGGGAAACATGCAAACTCCAAACGGGATGGCCATAGCCTGGATTCAAACCCCCAATTATCAGAAATGTGAGGTGGATCTAGATATGGATGTGTTTCCAGGTTGTAGTTAATTCTGATTTTAACATTTTCCTCATACTTCCACGCAATCTAACCTGCTAATTTTACAGCACAGTAACACACACATTATTTACCTCCAGCTAATGAATACTGAGTATTGAACTCCAACTGGTCACTTTGTTGCTCACTGGCACCTGGTTGCTGGTTATTGACATCTGGTTTGGGTGCACTACCAGCCGGGGTGGCAGGTTGAACTGCTGCATCATCTGAACTTGGCTGAGTGGTGATAGCATCGATTTCCTGTTGAGCAATATTATGAAGTATTTTTTAACAACACTGCTACAACTACAACTGTTCTTATTCACTCATACAATTAATCAATGTCATTTTCTTTGTGCGTTTTCCTTTAGTCACTTCAAATCCAAATTTTATAGTGAGGCGAAATCACTTACAGTACTTCTGTGTGTGTGTGTGTGTGTGTGTGTGTGCGTGTGCGTGTAGGATTGAGAAATTATGAGTATTAGGCACTGGTTGCATTAACAGAGTATAACGCAGGGGTGCCCAACCAGGCGATCGCAGTCGGCCGATAGTCCGCAGACTGGTCCCAAGTCGATCGCCAGGGATGTAGGGCAAAATGGGGGAAATAATAATTTGTGTGTCTGTCTGCATATTAATATACATTTTTGGGTTCGTGTACACTACACTTTAAGCATCTTATCAGTTTTACTTTCATAAAAGGGTATTTAAAAAAATAAAATACAATAAAAAAGCAGGTCACCTTTAACCTATGGTGGCGCTGTGACCTACATCAATAGAAGTCTGCAATTGCAGCTTGCGATCTCTGTTGCGACATATCTTTTTTAATTCTCATTCAAAATTTGTTTCATCTGCAATTCACTGATGGTACTGGCAAAGAATAGGAACCTGGAGCGCCAGGAGAAGCATTCTAAAACAGTATACGTGAGCTACAATCGTGGTGTTATGATGATAACACGCTACAACAGGCTGTATCATGTCTCTGCGTCAGGTGTCTACTAAGGTAGGCAGTGATTTCCTTTTCACAAACTTGTATCTGAGAGAGAGAGAGAGAGAGAGAGAGAGAGAGAGAGAGAGAGAGAGAGAGGGAGAGAGAGCGAGAGA